GTGCCTTTCCCTTTCTTGTCATGTTGGAGGGTTGTTCTCTGCAGGCAGATGAACCAAGCAAATCGTGTAGCACCGAGCTACCCCACCTTCTTGAGGGCATTTTTGTGCACAAAAAACATCTCCAGTGGGACAGCAGGCCTCCAAACCTCTTCCCTGCACTCCTGTAATTTATGCGAATTCTGCTGTGAACATGCAGAACAACCACAGTGGGCCAAGTACAAGAACACACACTCTTGGTGAACTCTGCTTAATATGCTTTAAACAAGGAAGTCTGGGGAGCTGCTGTCGAGTTCAGCTTTGGGCAGCATTGCCTCTATTTTGCACTTGCTGAAAGAGGAATACAGCAGAATAGCCAGCAGAAGTACTTCTAGCTGAGATGATGACACTTTCTCCTGTAAGGAAATATTAGGGATCACTAGGTTGCCAAAATCATAAAATGGTTTGGGTTGGAAGGGATCTTAAAGATCATCTAATTCCAACATCCCTGCCATGGGCAGGGATGGCATCCACTAGATCAGATTGCTCAGAGCTCCATCCAGCATGGCCTTGAATACTTTCAGGGATAAGGCATCCACAGCTTCTCTGGGCAACCTATTTCAGTGCCTCACCATCCCCACAGTAAAGAATTCCTACTAATATCCAGCCTACGCGTCTCCTCTTTTAGTTTACAACCATTCTACCTTGTCCTATCCCTATCTGTCCATGTAGAAAGCCACTCTTCCTCTTTTTTATAAGCCCCCTTTAGGGGCTTTATCAATATCATTGACAGGGACCTCAGTTTTTCAATCAGTAAATAAACCTTGGATCCTGACCTACTTTCTCTGGGATAGGTAAAGGTTAAAATAGGGGGACCACTGACTGAAATGGCCCTGCAATTTTGGTTCTGCATTACCCCTTCTCACTTAGTGAAAGCAAACTGCAGCGATGTTAATGTAATCATTGACAGATATGTGACTGGAAGCACTACAGCACCTTCTCCTCGAGAAGCGTGGGCTGAATTTACCTCTACTCTTTCATTAGCCTGCCCCCACCACAATTACATGTTGACACCATGCACAGTGAACAGAATAATTTGAATACTAAATACATTGCTGGAGGTCTCACTGAACTGCCATCAGAAGCTGTCAAAAAAGCAAACAAAACATTGTTATTTTCCATCAAGATTTTATACAGCCTAAAACCATAATGCCATTATATAAAAAAATCAATGGTCCTACCCTTGCTCAAGAACGGTGTGTTCTGCTCCAATCAGGCTCCCTCTTACGCACAGTTTCAAGTATTTGGACAACAGCGATGAAAATATTAGACAATACAACTGCAAGTTATTTCCAAGGCATGGACTGCTTAGAAAAAGGTATCTAGAAGCTTTGGCCATACCAGTAAACAAAGGGGAAATTCACACACCTTCTCTTACATAATAACTAGGAGCATCTCCCAGCAGAACTGACGAGCAACCAGGTTAAAAACTTCAACACAGCCAAGACCCACAGCACCTGGCATCACCAGCTGTCCTACTGCAGGTAAGATTGTTACATTCACACTGTTAAAATACTCCTGTCCTCCAGGCAGTGACATATGTTTCAGTAACAGCAGAAGACCTCAGGAAAGCAGGCCAGCCCCCTGGCAGTGGCTAGAAAGAAGGCACTGCTGGGAACAGGCTACTTCATCCCTGTCTCTTACAAGAGTTTCTGCAGTGCCCTCTCTGCCCTGCTCCAGCCTTACCCTTCACCCTTCCCCTCAGGGTGGGAGTGGTTGGGACATGCATTGGCCCAGCCCACTGAGCAATTCCACAGTAGCTGTGGCCCACAGTATGTAAGGAGATTTATTTCTGACCACAACTAGTGTAAATAATCATTTCAGAAGAGGATTGGTTGGACAGTGGAAGAGTTTTACTATGAAAGGGCACAGGTGAGTGGGAAGTGCTGAACTGCAAACACAGCATGGAAAAGCTGAGGCATTTCTGAGAATATGGAATAAAAATTCTCAGAAATCAACTATTACAACACTTTTTTTCCTGCATCATTAACCATTTTTAGGTTAAGAAGTACTACCCATTGACACAGTGAAGTACAATACTAAATACAGGCCTGTATCAAACACGGATCATTTCTCCTCGAGAAGTATCACAACAGGCAGCAGGTTTCAGCCAGCAGCCTGCCAAGGCTGCACGAGGGAAGCACCGACCATCGTGAGTGCAGGAGGGCACCACCAACAAAACTAAGCCTTTCCTGGGACCCAAGTGAAAACCAGCCTAGCAGACAGACAGCATATCAAGCTCCACAAAATTAAGCCCTGCATGTACTGTATTTTTAGTAGTCCCAACAGTCTGGCACAAAAAATGCTGCACTGCAACTTACCCTCAGGAAGAGTCGGGCACCTACATCTACTCTGAGGCAGGACACGTGTATTGTACCAGAAGCACCACCAGCATTCGAGTCCCAGCCAAGAGTGCTGCAGATTAGATCCCCACAAACTGGTCTGTCTTCCAAAATGCGACCCATTAGACACCACTAGGAGGTCAGGACTAAACTCACAAGGCTGGCTACTTGCTTGTCATCTGCTTTGGTAGATTAGCTAGCCCATGACACAGATACAAAGCTTAAGTTTATTTGGACGGTGCTTAAAACTGCCAGTGTACTTCACAGATGACCTGATTGCAAGTCTACTAATTTAAAACAAACAGATTTCAAATATTTTAAACTTTTGATTTAGCAGGCGCATTACTTCGCGTTTCAGAAGTTCACCATCTGCTGGGTTTACCTTTTAAGTCTCTCCACACTCCGGCTGCGCAGCCATCTGGGATGAGATAATTTGAACAGCAGACTGTTTCCTCCCATGTTACTAGAGAGGAAGAGCAGCCAAGCATGTATGAATAAAGTCTATTTCATTCTTTCAAACAAAGGTGGAGGAGGATGATTTGAAAGTTAAAAAAAAAAAAAAGAGAGAGGAGGGGGAGGGAAAGAAAACTAAAAATGGCAACCCCACTTTCCATCTTCAACTGCACCATGACTACCAGAGCTGAGTCAAAGTTACTACTGACAAGCAGGAGAGAAGAGAGTCTGACTTACAGATCCTAAGGTGAATCTGCAAGGCTGGCAGCTAGAAAGCTTTTTGATTTGTAAAGCAAAGAAAGGAAGCAAAAGAATCAAAGCAAAACAATCAAGTTCAGTCTACATTTACAGACTGAGATTAGCGTCTCTTGTCCATCTGCTGGTGCAAACCAGGCAATATCACCAAGGTTAAGTGCACCTACGTGGACTCGGAAGTGTCCACACCCTCTACATTTTCTGTAGGAAAAATCTCATTAAGATACCAAACGCCAGCACCGTAAGACACAGAAGGAACTGTAATGACACAGCATCTTTAAAATGTATCCTTTCGCTATCCAATGGCTTTGAAACAGTGAATCAATCCCCTATGCTAATTTTCCTAGAATAAATCACAGCCACCTCAAATCCTTTGCTATTCAAAATACCTCAACAGGCACAGGAGGCACTTGGAAAGACTGTTTAAAAAACCAACCAACCAAACAAAACCCTCTGGGTTATTTCTATGTCGATCAAGAACTTTGCTTTGTTCAACATGGTAAAAGCAGTCAGGAGTGGTGGCAGAAGTGGCAACACTTAAAAAGGTTGCATTGTGACAATTCCCGTGCAAGGTCCTCAAAAGGAGCTCTGCAACCACTTAAGGAAGAGGTAATTCCGCTCTACAGAAATAACACTTACTGTGTCATTGTCAGCTCTTTCTAAAATCTTGACAAGCCCCTGCTTCAGGCACGCTGCCTGTCTTGTCAAAGGGAAGCACCACAACATACATCCTACACTTTGTCAAAAGAGTAATTCTCACCCAAAATCATCGTGAATTTGCATGACAGCACAAAGGTGAATTTGGAAGCAGGCAACAGAAGGCTCCGAGGCTTGCGAGGCTTGCGTGCCTCCAACAGTGCTCGGCTCCACTCATTTTATAACACCAGCAACAAAAGTTTGGTAAATCAGCCACTGAGAGGAATTCCTTTTTCACTTGTTAAGGATCAGTTAACTCTAAAAAATTCTCACACACAAGCACATTAAAAATACCCATTCCCCATGTGATGTTTCACACTAATGGCCAGCACTCTGAGGAAACTACTCATTGAAATAATTTCAAGTAATGGTAAGTGGAAGGAAGAACAGATTACACACTCTGTATACAGCGCTGGGGGACTAGAGAACAGCCAGCCACAGAGTCCACGCCCTGCCCTACAGATCCACATCTGGCTTATCCTGGTCTTCTCCAGGAGAAAAGCTCAACTCCCAGTCCAGGTTTTGCCATCCAGCCTTTCGCTCCTCATAGGCAAGACCATAAAACCTTCTTTCTGAAATCGTCTCAAAAGGCAAGTTTGAAAAGACAGGGGATTAGGAAGCAATCGATGAGAACTGCAGCAAAGCAACAATTTACTCAGCAGGGTTGTCTTGATAAAAATCTGCTCACTGACAATTTCTATCTCACCTTTGTTATTTAAGTTCATCCTTTCCCCACTATCTCAGGTTCTCAGTGCTGGCAGTCAGAGACCTGACCCAATCCAAAGCCCCCAGAGGGACACACAGTCCCAGTGCCCCCCACAGCACCGGACTCTGTTGCTCAGCAGGCAGACGCTGCTGTGCTCAGGGAGAGCTCAAAACCACGTACCTTGTAGTGCTGCAAACACTCCCCGTGAGGAAGTGACGGAGACAACAAGTTTCATCTATTCCTTGACCCTCAACAAATTGAGGAAGTCTGTAACTATTGTCCCCGGGGTGTTCTGAAATAAGACCTCTCTCCAAGAGGAAACAAGCTCAGGATTAAGTGAACAGAACTGCCCTGCAAGCAGCACGCAGCTGCCTACAGACCAGACTTTTAGGAGCTGCCAAAGTTTAACCCACCTGGCCTCTAGTCTCACTGTGATCATGAGGAAGAGCAAACAGTCATCTGGCCAGCTGTTTGATGTACACAGAAACAACTGGACTGGATAAAGAAGACAGTTTGTTTTTGTAAGAAACAATATATTTTATTTTTCTGACACCACAGCCCTGGCGAGTGGTTTTGTACCAAATTTAATGGAGGTTACACAGAACGTTTTACGCTGGGGAGGAAAAAAAAATAACCACAAAAAAAAATCCTGGGTAACTTTTAGTGTCTGTTCCACTCCCACATTAATAAAATCACTTGGGGTTTCTAAGAAAAGGAGAATAGGAAACAGTGAGAGAGACTACTGTAGGATGTAACAGTGTCCAAGTCCAGCCCCTTCCTAGAAGTGGGAAGAGTCCCCACGTGAGGAGAGGCTCTCCTAGATTTACTCCCCAAAATAACACAATGTATTGCAGCTGCCATAGGAGGAGACAGAAGGGGACGGAGAGAGAGAAGCCTATTTAATAAAGAGTGGGAGGGAGAGACAGAAGGTGCTGGACAGCACGCCATAATTTGAAAAATATGTCCTTAACTTATTATTTATTTCTTTTAAAAGATTCCCCTCACTGAACTTAAGTTCCTTTTTGTGCTTTTCATTAATACTCTGCTCTGAGGTCGTAGTTTGGTTTTTCTATACATTGGAGTTGAAGGAAAATAGTCCGAAGTTCTGAAGATGGATTCTCCACCTAAAGTAAACAGCCTAGAATCCCATTCTCCTCTCACCCCAAAGACTAAAGTCTCTGCTAAAATCCCTTTTACAATATAGTACAGTACACAAAAAACCCCAAAAATAACCGAGAGTCCTGGGAGAAGCCAGTCCAAAGGACGTAAACATACAGAGAATGGTGCAACTTGTGACAAATGGCAATTCTCAAAATACAGCTACAGATTCTCAAAGCAGGTGCCGTCACGGGATACCCAAGTCCACAAAAATAATTTTTAAAAAATAAATCTTAAAAAAAAAACAACCTGTTTAAATGAATAATTTTTTTTTTTTTTTTCAGGTAATTCCATACATTCGAGATTTCCCAAAGCGTCCTCTGGTCTCTTTTCACCTATTGCATGGCCAAACTGTACTCCTGAAGCTCCCAAAAAGCCCTCAGGACTTGGAATCTCATCTTGACAAGGATCAGAACATCCAGTCTTATGGTAGCAGCTTAAAACATCATGTTCCCCGGGTTTCCAGGGCCTTGGCTAAATCCTCCCATGCCAACGTCAGCAGCCATACCTCGGGGCCTCATCTGGGGGGGAATCATGATGTTTTGTTGGGGTCCCATCATGCCCTGCATTGACATCATCATGCCGGGCGACCCCACGGGGCCGGGGTGGCTGTACAGCCCCGCGGGGGCTCGGTCCTTGCCCGGGATCATGCCCACGGCGGCCACGGGGTTGCTCATGAGGGCGGGCTGGCCGGGCATGGCCGGCTGTGCTGGTGACATCATGCGGTGGTGCGGCCCCATCATGCCCTGCTGCAGGAAGGCCGGGGGCCTCATCGGGTTGTGGCCCGGCATGGACGGAGCCGTCCCGAGGGGGATATCCGGAGTTCCCACCGGCCCGGGGCCCCCCATGCCAGGCAACGTTAGTCCCATCCTCGGGGTCTGCTCTCCTATCATCCCCTGCATGTGGGAGAAGCCAGGCCCGGGACCCTGCGGCTGCTTGCGGCCTGGCACCTCCCCACGAGGGAAATACTGTAGTGTCTGGCTAGGCTTCTCCGACGGGATAATCCTGGACAGGTCGAACTCGGGTATTCCCGTGGCTCCAGGGCGGATCACCTCCTGCAGCTCTGGATCAGTGAAAACCGAAGGCATATTGTTTCCAAGAACAGTGAAGGAGTCTGGACCGCCAGGGCCTCCAGTCTTGCAAAGTGCTGGATCTGTCGAACTTTGGGGCAGGTTGGTAGGACGCCCCAGAGGTCCTTCTCCGTGGAAGCCCATTCCCGCTGGGAAGTTGCCTTGTCCACCGCTGGGCCCGTTGTGTGGAAATGGCACCTGCTGTGGAGGGGACTGTACGGGAGGGAACCCCTGTGGGAAGCCCAGGCGTCCTTGAGGTACCATTGGAGACTCCTGGGAACCGTGTCCCATCATTGGGTTGTGTGACATCAGGCCGGGTCCCACGGGGACCCCGTGAGGAGGTATATTGGGTCCCATAGCATTTGGAGAGGGCATCTGGTTGTTATGGGAAAGAGGCTGGGTCATTCCCATTGGGCTAAGGGTTGGCATTGGACCCACTGGGTTTGGACCTGAAATTCGAGGATTCTGAGAATTAATGCCCATTCCTAGGGAAGAAACAAGGAATCACATTTAGACAGCAGCCAGCAATAATCAATAAAGCTACCAGAAAGCTTTCTGCAAGGTTACCAAGTCCGCACACACACATCAAAAAAAACTCAGCCCTAGTAAAAAAACATTAGCAGTGGCTCTGAAAAGTGTTATTTAAACCAGAAATTTGATGGCACCTGAATAGCTGCTTCCCTAAGCTTCTCACTGCCCTATGAACCAGTGACTAAAGCCTGCTCCATAAGTAGGATCTCAATCCAACCCACACCTTTACTACCTCCTCCCCGGTAGCCTACATGAAGCAGGCAGTAACAAACATGTCTGTGACAGATTATTAGCATACGGACACTTGTCTACTGGGAAGTGACCGAATCTCCTCTCAAAACTCAAGCAGTGATAAATCAGGTAACCCTTGTAAGACAAGGAGGCAGTGATCAATGAGGTTAATGAGTTATCATCATGAACTTATTCAATTAGCCAGCTTCCCCAGATACATTCAGCCACCCCGATCATTACTGCGTGAAACACACGGCAAGGCTACAGGTAAACCCGGCAAGAACTCATTACCAATTGCCACTCTCATGAAACATCCACTCATTCCTTCTTTAAGCTGTTAATTCAATTGGGTAGAGGGACTACAACCTACTTTTGTATTAAATAGGTACCCATGAACATTAAGTTACCAGCAGGATCTAGATTACGCATATAAACATGCTCACCCACACGACAGCCCAAATGTTTTATTTTACTTTAACTCTTTCAGGTAGGGACCTGGACAGTTTCCCTCAGTCCTGGTTGAGATCACCTGCCATTACATATTCCCTACATGGGAAGATTTATGTTTTCAGAAAGGGCTCCAACACTCTCTTTCATTAAAAAGGCAATCCACAAAGCCCAGGAAAGACCTGATGATTCAGTGTCAAAAAAAAAACCCAAACCAACCCCAAAAAACCTGCGAAGCTTCTATGACACTGCCTTAAGACAGGGAAGGTATGGTTTCCTTTGGATAAGTCTGACTCTTATTCCCATGAGCAGCCTTCACTCACACAATTAATTCCAGTCTGCCTGAGTGGAAATCTCCCCCATACATAAAGGTTTTCCAGATCAGACAGCTTCTGGACAGGAAAAAAAAAAACAAAACAAACAATTCCAAGGAGAATTTCTATCTCTGCATTTCCCGAGAATTGCAACTGCCTTCCTCAAAACAACACATGGCTATATATTCCTCGAGGTTTTTTTCCCCTCTCACCATCTTCACTTGATGAAGCTTCCACAAAAATCACCCTCACTGTACTGCCTGATACTTTCGTGCTCAATGTTTCTTTGATTTTCTTACCTGGTACACTGTTCATAGGTGGCAAGTTTGGGGAGCGGGCTGGAGGGGAGTCGTCATCCGAGCTGGCCACAGTTTTGATGGCATCATGATAGAGTGGTGTAGAGCTCGGCATGGCAAATTTGGACATCCTGGACATCATAATGGAGAGGGGATTCTGGGAGAGGGTTGGCTCTGGAGGCATTGTGTAAGGACTGCTAGAGGGAAGATTTCCAGGGAGAGTCACAGGAGCAGACTGGCTGACTGTGGAGGGAGGTGGACCACCTTAGGAAAAAAGGAAAAGACAGAAAGAAAGTTTAATTTTTCATCCTTCTTACTGTTTTCCTTAAATCCAATTCTTTTCCCCTAGAAATCTCAAAAACTAGAAATCTTTTTTACTGCAAGACTTTACATGACTAGTGTAGTCAATGCCTGTGAAAAGTAAACAGAAGAATAAGCCTATTGGTCAAGTTGCTTAACATCTGTTATCCTACTGAAAAACACTTCTACCAGAACTATCTTGAGCCTCTAAAAATCCACATGAAGAATTACCAGTTTAGTCTGAAAATCTTACTATTCAATTTCCATACACCGAAGACAGACTTAGGTACCAGAGTTAGCCATAAAAATCAGTATAAATCTATAATCATTCAGTTGTTCCTGCATCCACCAAATGTCAAGTGTAACTCCTTTCCCTTTCTCTTTAGGAGGCATCGGGCAAGCACAAAAGACACAGGCAGCACAAGGAAAACTGTAGCAGATATTTCTGACAAACTGCATGAGGTGTTACAACTCCCTGTTCATGTTTCGTTACATATTTCATATATACATATTAGCTGCTTATTCCAGTTAAAGAAGCATTCTCTGTACCTATTATCTTAACATCATCCTTTGCTCTCCCAAAACCAGAAGTAACTGCACTGCCAATCTCCTTTGTTCTTCCACTGATAAATTCCACAAAACCCACACCACTGTGAAGGAAAGATGCTAAACCGAAGTTGTGCTCTCACTGAAAATTCACTGCACGTTCCTCAGCCCTTCCCAACCAAAAAAAAAGGAAAGTAGAACAGAGAACGCAAAAATTCTGCAATGCCAAAATACTCACGCTTTGGAAGAGCTGTGTGTAAAAGCACTCATTAAGCAACATTTCACACAAATTTCACAGATTATTCTGAGTTGGAAGGGACCCATAAGGCACAGACTAAAGCACTAGGTTTTGACTTGTAGGCACCTGGGCTTACGCTGGGCCTGGCCTCAGCAAACACTAACACCCAGTCTGCCTTCCCGAGCACAGACCCAGCCCGCAGTCCCAGGGTTACCCTTGCCACCAGCCCCACAGGCATATCCCAATCCCCATCCCGGTCCTGGCTGCTGCCGCCGCGCTGTTACCCGCGGCAGCACTAGAGGGCAACGTGGGCAAAGGGCTCCTCTCTCTCTCCCAGCCGGGAAGGACAGCCCAGAGGGGTGAGCGTGCTGCAGGGTGAGCTCCGGGAAGGTGAGGACAGAGGATGCCAGCACCTGGAGCCTGAGGTGCCAAGCATGGCAGGGCTCAGCACACAAGTGAATGCTACGTATGTTGGTGGTTAGATCATTCCAAAACGTTTGAAGCCTGAAAAACTGAAGCACAACTTCCTGTCTGCAGCGTAAACCCAAAAAGCACCAACCATACCTGAACCATGTAGAGATACAGGGCTGGCTAAGTGTGCTCAGCATGTCTTTATAGGAGCTTTTTATCTCAAAGAGTTTTTGTAACATAAGCAGGATCTTCTCCACAAAGCTACAATCACCATGAGCTACAACAGTCAGACCCCTCTAAGGAGAGATTTCTCCCATCAACCCCCTACATCTTTTCACATCTCTTGACCCCACGCTTTTCCTTTTATGTCCTCTGAGTGATCAGCCCTCAGCTTTGACATATGGGAGGCACAGTACACACACACAAATACAAGAGGAGGAAAAGCCCTTGCCCTTCACTCACACAGCCCCCCTCCAACAGGCAAGTGGTCATCCAGCCTTTGCCCTGCTGAGAGAACCCTTCTCCCTCCCTTGCTGCACATGTTGGGTGACCCGACGCGAACCAAAGCACCAGATCCGGCTGCCAGACGCGGCACTCACCCGACTCCACATTCCCCAGCATGGCTGGAGAAGACATGGTCAGAGACGCCTTGTGGTTCGGGGGAATCCCAGGGCTCTGCAAAGGAGGCTTTGGAGATGAAGTCCATCCAGGAGAAGGTGCAGGGAGAGACGGAGACTTGAGGTGGACAGGAGAAGCAGCAGCAGACCCCAAGACAGGGGGGGACTTAATGGAGGCAGCAGCGGCTGCGGCAGTGGGGCCCGCGAGCATTCCTGCCAGCTGGGAGGGCGTCTGGGGGGACTTGAGGTTCCCCGAGGGAGACCCCATCATGGGAGACTGGACCTGGCGCATCGTGGGGGACTTCAAGGGGTTGATTCCTGGCGAATGCACCTGACCAGCTGCGGAGATATCCAAGGGCTTGCGGCCGAGGCTGCGCTGCGCAGGGGGAGCAGTGTTGAGGCTGTTGGGGTTACTGGTGGGATTGAGAGGTAGTGGCGGCATGTGGCTGAGCCGGTTGTTAGTCCTTTGGTCAGGCCCGATCTGTTCTCTGAGATTCCGGAGACCGACTCCTGGGCCCTGAGACATGGGAAGGAAAGGCCTGGGACCCATGCCATACTCCTGCTGCGGGTGCTCCCCGAACGGCAGCGGCACCATTTTCTGCTGAGAGGAGAGCATCTCCGAGACGCCAGGGCGCAGCTTCATCATCTCTTCCGGCCCGACTCCTGCTTCCCTCAGCTTCTGAGGGACCAGGGGTGGGTTGGAGCCCATGCTGACATTCATGCCCATGTCCCCCTTCATGCTGCCAGGGCCCATCCCAAACTCCAGCTCCCTACCAGAAGCCATTTGTGGGGGTATTCCTTTTGGGAAGTCCCCCCTGGAAGGGCTCATCGGTCCTTCTACCGGCATGCGAGGGAAGATGGGGTTGTTCCCAGGCTCCATATGTCTCTGCGAGGGCATCATTCTGTTTATCTCCATGCCAGGCCTGATGCCTTCCATGTTCAGACCAGGAGGAAGGCCCATCTGTTTCTCAGCCAGCTGTTGCTGGTAGAGTTCTTCGGGCAGGCCCTGTGGATTGGGAAACCGCTCCCCTCGGCCAGGGCCACTGAAGACACCCTGGCCAGGAGGGAAGTTTCGGCCATCTGGGATTTTTGGCACATCATCTGGCCAACTAACTCCTGAAAGCCCAGGCCGTGAGGCGGGATTCGGGACGCTGGGGCCCTCCATCTCAGGGTTCATCATTCCTGCAAAGCCAGGCAGGCGCATCTGGCTCCCGGGCACGTTGGGATGAGGGGCCATGCCCCTGGGGGGCAGAGAGTGCGACATGTTCATGCCTTCAGGGAAGGGCTCTGGGCCCCCAGGTCCCCAGCCCTCACCAGGGGTCATCTGGTAGGGAGGAGGAGGACCTCGGACCACCCCTCGAGGCCCGTGCTGGTGGACCATCATATCCTGTAGGGAACACTGCTGCACAACCACCTGCTCTTGCTTTCTTCTCTTCTCCTCGTAGAACTCCTGCTGCAGCTTGAGCCAGGCCACCTGCTCAGGAGTCATATGGTCCAGGTGGTCTGGGCCTATGGGTCCTGACTGGGAGTTCATTGGTGGTGGCCCCATTTCATCTGGGGAAAAAGGCATGTCTCTGTGTCCTTGAGGGCCAAACGGAGCCCCTCCATCTGTCCGAGACCCTGACCCTTTGCCTAAACTTTGGGATTGAGCCATCATAGCCTGTATCGGCCCTTCAGGTTTCTTTTGGGGACCATCCAGCACCCCAGCATTTGGGGGAGGCCCCCCACTCTGCCCTCCAGCAAACTCCTTCTCATCAGGGAAGAGCATGCGCTGTATGTCTCGCAGGGTCTGCAGTGAGCGCTCCCGATGCTCCAGCTGCTCCTGTGACAGTCCATCTGGATTCTCGCCCAAGCTGGATGGGTCCCCACCAGACACCTGCTGGGGAGGACCTTTGGAGTCTGCAGCTGAGCTATTGCTACCTTGGGAAACCGGGCTCACCGCTCGGTTATTGGGGGTTGAACTCTGCCCAAACCCTTCTGTCTGCAACGGGGTAGAGTTGGCAGGGCTGCCCACAGACATCACTTTGCTTTCCACACTGGGACTGTCCTGATCTATGGGACACGGGGGGCCAGCGGATTTGGACACCGGTGCTGACACGGGTGGGGTCGGCTGCATTTTGGCGTTCTGGGGAGGGTTCTGGTCCGGGGCTGCGGGGGGCTGGGGCTGCGGCAGGGGCTTGGGTTCAGTCCGAAGTGCAGTGATCTGGGGGTTCTGCAAGACAAAGCCACACATTGAGACCTGCTCTTCCTACAGCCCTGGCACACGAGCAGCAGCGCAAACAAAATGCCCAGTCCCAACCCCACCAGCCCAAACTTTGCAGGGAAGGGTAGCCTTCATGCAGCTATTACAGAACAGCACCTGTTTTGCTCAAGGCATTACTGCAGGAACCCCTTTCTTCTGTGCTAGCTCTGCATGAGCAATGGGTTGGAAACACACTACCCAAATACTGCAAGACTCAAACTCTTCTTTGGATGACCCAAGACATTAATGTGCAGAAGGTCTGAACAGAAACTATCCTCCTGAAACTTATTTCCAAGCGTAAATAACCATCCATCTCTCTGAATAACACACTGACCATTTCCCCTTCCCACCCACATGCAGGTATTCCCTACCAAAGGTACAGTGTTTCGTTCCGCCTTGCTGTTTGAGATGTTCTGGATATGAAAGGACACAATGGTTTCCACCTGTCCCTTCAGCACAGCTTCTGCAGCCCTGCAAAGACAGACAGACAGATGCACATATCCAGCCGAAGCTAAGAATCAATTTTTTTTAACTGGCCTCTCTTCTATCTTTCAGCTGGCACAAGGGAGAAAGACTTAACCACATATATTTCACTCTAGATGAGTAGCAACAGAAGAATGCTTACATCTACAAACTCATCAGCATTCAGGGTTCATGTCTCAGTTTAGCCCATTCTGGCTGTTACTCACTGCACGGATTGCAAAACACCATCTACCACCATTTGCAAGAAACAAATAAAGATCTCCGCACCTCAGAGGAATAAGCAATCATTTCTCAGAGGAAAAGAGTAGGGACATTCTCCACTACAGCCCCTCCAACAACACCAAAACAACTAATGACTTTTTGCTAATCAGGCAGAAAGTGACCTTTTGACAGTCTCTTAAAAAGGGAGCACAAATAGAACTCCTGCTCCCTGAAGACATTCAAGCATCTACCTACTTACTTGTTGGCCATCTCAGTAGAAAATACATAAACCACTTTGGATGGAGTCTTCTGCCCACTTGCTGGCTCCAAAGTGGCAGTCAGACCATGGGAAGGTGTGGAAGACCTTGGGGCTGAAGCATTTGAAGGAGTCATGGAGTGTGGTGTGTGCTGAGACTCCTGGGACTTCACATGATCAGCAGAATTGCAGTCTGGAAGGGGAGAAAGAGGAAAAGAGAGGAATTGCTATCTTGGGAGCACTTTGGAAACCATTTCTGGAAACTGATCAGAGCTTTTTTCCCTCTGAAATTTCCTGCTTCTTCCTCAAGCAACACTAAAGGCAATTCTTCTATTACAACATGCAACTTTCCCCTAACACCACACTGCCCTTCAGGCACCACTGGGAGAAAGCTCATCTTGTCCCTTTTCAAGGCATGTGGCAGTTCCCAGTGCTGATCCCTTTGAGCTGATCCCTTTGAATTCTCTAATGGCCACATAGAAAAGCAGGAAAATCACACACTAAAATGAACTAATATAAATATGTCTGCTTCCAAGGAGAATACTTGTAAAATTTCACTTTTCTTTTTTTCCCTTCAGCCACCTTAGCCAGGTAACCCAGCAAATGGACCACAAGGGAAAGGCGGACAACTGCACATCTAGTGTGGTTTTGCACTGCCTCACAGGGGCAGCATTGGAGCCAGGAACAGAACACAGAAATCCCAACTCTCTGGCTTGTGTTACCAGCCAGGGTACTACGGGTTATGTATCTGTGTTGACAAAACAGACTTGCATATTGTTCAAAACCTGTTACAACAGAGCAGTTCCTGAAAGGCCAAAGGCCAGAAGGAAACCAACAGGTTGCATTTGTACTTTCAAATCCTCTGGGGGAGTTTCAGAGTTACAAAGGAACTTTCCCACCAGTTAGGCCTGCTCTCTAACTGAGCGTGAACAAGACATTTGCCAATGTCATAACAACCTTTCCTCTTCCCCTGCTCTCCAGACCTTTAGACTTCGTCGAGGGAACTTACAGAATCCCAGACAAGTAACATTTGCATAGCAATTCTCCACCTGACAGAGGATTCAGACTAATTGTCTGCACTTGCACACCAATCCTAGCAAGCATACCTTTGATTTCAGGGTCATCATTAGGAGTCCCAGCTTCCCTCTGTTCAAAGGAGTCTGCTGAAATGCTCCTCTCTCTCTTCCCCTTCCCCTTGGCACCATTTCCAGCCCCATTCTTCAGCCCCATGCTCCCACCTGGGCCAGGGAGCACTTTGGGGGTGTGACCTCCACTTTTGGGGTCACAGGGAGAGGGCTGGGATTGGCTGGTGGAGCCCCCTTGTTTGCCTTGGTTGGAAAATTTGGAATCCAGCTGAGGGTTGCCAGACGGGGACATCACTGTAGGGGGGCGGACCATCACCTCCTGCTTTGATTTGGGGCTACAGGGGACAGAGGGGAAATAAAAAAAGACAAAAAAAAGTGACAAATCACCGCATTGATCCATTCAGCCCTGTAGGAACAGATTAGAGTGAGTGAAGCAGAAACAACCACTGTCACCTTGCAAGCTAAGACAATTGCTGACACATAAAAAATGCCTGCAAGCTTAGAGTCATGCAGGTGCTTTTCTGAACATGCCCTGAAAGGGTTATTATCCAAGATGGGATCTCATTGCTCAAGAAGGCACCAGGGCAAACCACAGACCTGCCAGATCCCAGAAACTGCTGTCACATGAGGACCCACCTCTGGAGCTTCTGTCAATAAAGACAACGGTTTCTATGTGCACAGAGAAGCGCCTCTCACCAAGATCAGCTCAGAATAAATAAACAAGGCACAATAAAGTTCACCTCACCACTCTCCTGGACCCCAACTACATGCTACAGCTCCGATCAGAGAAGACCCCCACCCCCCTCCCTTGTACCTCCCTATCCAGTTCTACAGGGAGCACAAGGAAAACCCAGCATTACTGCAGCATTCGTCATACACTGGGGCGAGCTGCCAGGAAAACACAAACCTCTGACCGTGAAAACAATTAAACCAGCTACAACCTGCCTCTGAATAAGGAAGGAAAAGGAAGGATACCATCTCCAAGCACACTCCTGCAAAATGGGGTAGATGGAGCTTCCTTAATTTGCCAAAGCAGGCTCAAGAGTCTTTCCTTCCTTCTTTCATCCAGCAAATTGGATCCTAAAAATATTTTGCTCCTCTGGGTTTTACAGACATATTAGCCACCCCTTCCTGCCTCACCCTCCTCTTACTCCATTGCTATTGGATCTTCTGCACTGTGTTTTCCCATCACCACTATCAGTTCCAACAGGCAGTGCTTGCTAGCATCCTCACTGTGGGACTCACACAAGCTGTTTCCTCCCTTAGGACAGACATCTGACTCAGGAGCATTCCCTATGAAATACTCCTAAGTTCTAGATGACCTCTAGGAATAAATAATCAAACCCAAGAATGCTGTCAACCAGACCATTCCAAGTCCCTGGGTGCTGCTTTGCTTCCACATTCTTCCCCTCCCAGATTAGTGGAGGAGAGATGCTGACCTGCTGCACTGGCAGGTGACTGACACAGAGGATCCCAGTGCTCAGCAGATCAGTTCTCCAGGCTGCTCAGGCCAATAATAGAGGAAACATTTTGTGTGAAAATACAAGTAGAGAGACCTGCAGCCCAACTACTCCCTGGGAAGCAGGTAATTAGAAGAGGAGGAAGAGGGGGGAGAAATCAAGATAGAAAAGGCATGTTTACTCTCCTACAGCCTTTTCAGGCACCTGATGAGAAGGAAGAAGGCACAAGGAATGGAAAATCCACAGCTTTCAGCTCATCCTGAGCCTTGCAAACGTGAAGACCCATCAGCACTGTGCAGTCACTGCTCAGGCACTCAGTGGGTCTGATGGGAGCACAAAGGAGGGCCAGTGGAGCTAATCCAGCAGCAGAGCAGGGACAGCAACACACGCCAACCCAGAGCAGCTGACTGCAGGCTCTTCCCCTTACCTCTGTGTGTTGCCTGACGGGGAGTTCCTCACTTTGGGGTTACTGGAATGCATTGACAGAAATCCTGAGCTCACAGTCTCACACACACGCAGATGGGCTCTCGTCAAGTTCCCCTGGGGATCGTGCCGCCAGAGGCAGCGTCGAAGCGCTTCCTGCCACCCGCTCCTCTCAGTGCTGGCTGTCTGCTTGCCTTTTTTCTCTTGGCTCCTCGCTGCTTTTGCACTGGGCACTTCCCTCCTGCAGCTCCAGCATTCTCTAGACGCGTGCCTCCTGCTGCCCAGGGGAAGTCTCGCATCTCCAGGGCACCCTGCAAACCACCCCACGAGAAGAGAACAGAAAACCAGTGAGGAACTTCCCGAGTAGACGTGGCTGGTGTGAGGCAGGACGTGGCAATTCTTCACCCATTCCCGAGAAGACACAGGAGAAGAGCTTTGAGATGGATAGGTATTTCAGACCAAAGGCAGCCCTGGCTGGCCATTCAGTTTCCAGGCACTGAGGCCATCTTCCCTTTGTCCAAAGTAAATCATTCTGGAGTCAACACAACAGGGAAGCACCTGGTATCTGAACACTTTGATTTCACATCTGTGCTCAGCTTAAAGACACCTCACAGCAAGTCAGTAGAAAGTCAAAACTGCAAATCCCCAGCATGAGTTAGCTATCCAGAATTCCCCTTTGAATGGCTGTAATGTGATATTTCTTAAGAACATAAACTCTGCTTAAATTTTTTGTCTCCTCGGTCCAATATACCAAGACATATGCTCAATGATGTGTGCTAAGGGTTACACAAAGGGAGAAAAATAAAATAAAACACCTTCCTGGCCACCTGTAAGCTACCAGCTTTGTGTGATTACTCTGAAAACACCAGGGGTTAGTCACTCACCATATCTACTTAGAAAGGCCAGAAAACACTAGGGAAGCACCCATCTAAATTTGCTCGGCAACATTCTGCAGATCACTGAGGCTTTAGAAAAAAAAACAAAACCACCCCCCCAAAAAAGACACTTTTTCAGCTTCTTCATAAGAAACAATATGCATGACACAGGCAATGAGGCACCTAAAACTGTTTCTGGAGGAGGGAACTATTGAACATCATTGTCGACATGCTTTGGGCTAAATTATTTTGGAACAAATTTCTGTCTTGTTTACGTTTCAACAAAATCTCTCCTGTTCATCTCACCTACTCAGATGCAAATCCACTTAATTTAGAATCTAACCAAGATTTATTGTTAATGTATTAAGCATTGCTAGTTAAATATTATTCAAATGTAAATATACCCGATATTCCTTCTCAGCACCAAAGAAGTAGTTTCTTCCTGTGTATATCAAATGAAACAAAATAAATCTTAACAGAATGGGAATGTCTTGAATTTTATGAAGAAACTACTGTTGAAATTGCATTTCAGAAACAAAAATTGCCTTGTTTATGTGCTGACACCAGAAGATTAAGAAACACTCTCTGACCACCTCTGGCCAAGGAGGGTTCTCAGCAAGTTGTAGTATTGAGAACCACTGTTTTCCAGTTCCCCTAATTTATACAGTTCTGAGGTTGTGCCATTACGCATTGTAGTGAGTTTGCATTGCTGTACTTTAACATGATAGCGATCCAAACTGCAGCAGTTCCATGAAGCTCTGCATCATCTCCAAAAATTCTCCTCCCCACCACATGCCTCCCTCATGAGCTGGAGAAGTCACTCTGCTCCCTGTTCTCACCTCTACTGTGCTGCATGAACCTATTAATACAGGGAATGTTTCTGCAATAAATACCTCATTTTAAACACCTCCTACTAGGCATAATCAGATGAACTCCAGTCTGAGCCACACAATCCAGAGGACCCACATCCCTCTCCGGGACTACTAGCTGATTATCCCACTGATTTTCAGAGCAATGCTGGCTTTATCCCATCACTATTGTTATTATTATCATACTGCAATTGGAGCTGGTGCTATACAGACACATTAAAGATGAGAGAGAATCTCTTCACACATATCTAAATTGTATCATCTTTGCATGCAAATTTGGCTCCTACGTCTGTTTTGACAACAAAACTGAAACATCAACAGTATCCAACTTCGCTTTTCAAGAGATTGATACATCTGTAAAAGTCAGTGGAGCTCAGTGATACTTCAGGGCCCTCACTTGAGGTGAAGGTGTGACTGAAAATACAGTGAATTCCAGGATAAAAACAAAAAAAAAAAAAAAAAGAAAAAGAAATAGAAAAAAGGTATAACAGCATTAAAGGGAGCAGAGCTTGACATTTACAGGAGGACATAGATGCCTGCATGATGAACTTAAGTATTCTAGTTGTTTCATCCTCTGCTTTTCCATTTGGATATTTATGCATAACGTTATCTTTTATTACAAGATGAGAATTGTCTCAGACTCCCAGTCTTGCACAGTGCAATGAGAAAACATGAAATGAAGAATCAGGATCACACTGGCTACACAGTATTTCTGACACCAACAAACTTCACCCAGGGGCAGGGGGGAAACCTTCCATTTTTTTAACCCTACTTTTTTATTCTATATACACATATCTTCCATCTATTAGGACTGATGCGCTCTGCAAGGGAACTGTATTTTCCAATCTCAGTTTAAATTTCTTCTTACCAGAGAGAGCTATAAAGGATACATCAATATATTCATTGCTGGAACAACAGCAACTCAACTTCCCCAGCTTTTTATTTCTGCACAGTGGGAACGTACCATCTTTTATAATGTGGAATGGAATGTCTCATGATTTTTCTCAATGCACTTCTAACATATGTATGGCTGGGAATCTAGGGTTCAAAATTGGAAAAGCTCTAGAGAAATGTATTTTTGCAGCTGGAGTGTGCCTGCCATAGCAAAGCCTTTATCATTGCTCCAGAATTAGAGGCAGGGTCACTGACAGTAAATGGTCAAACCACTTTTCAAGACATTTTGGCAAGCTACATCCAAGCCTGTATTTTCAGGACTGCTTTAAGGTATGCCAGGAAACGGCTGCAGGGAAAAGGGATGGTTCAACCGGCTACTCATTCTCACCACCTCTGGCCTGACCACATCAGGAGAAGATCTGAATGGGAACTAACCCAAGGGAAACAACAGAAATCCCTATTCAGCTGGATTCGCCCCCTGATCTGGTTGATCACATAACCACATCAGTGCCATTGCAAGCTCAAAGGAGGAGGTGAGAACAGGTGAAAATGTAGCCTCACCCCACCAGGCTGAAGCCTACAACTTGGATGGCTTCAAATGACTTCAAACCTCAACTGCAGAGACAAAAAAAAAGAGATGGATGTGAACTGGTGGAGATGGGATAGGTCCTCTCCTTTCCAACAAGCAGCTTACCAAGACCCCTGGTGTCACGACACGGCAGTACTCATCGTGGAGGCCATGAGTTGCAAACCACTTGTCTCACAAGAAACAATCACCTGGAAAAGAAGAGAGAGGAAAAATTTCACCAACAAGAACACACAGCCAAAGCCAAGCTGTACATCCCTTCCATGCATCCAGACACAGAAGCAGAGGAATCAAAGCCTGCTCTGAACCATCGACAAGGGGAAGCCTCTGCTCAGACTGGCAATATTTGTCAGCACCCAAAAAGTCACCATCCAACTGGAAGAATCTGAAGATCCGTGCTGACCATGGGGGAGAATAGGTCAGACCTGCTTTAGCACTCCCACATTTCAGCCAGCTCGACTCCCATGAGCTCATCTGTGCTTAGAGAAGCTGACACAAAGCCTGGACATGTCACCTTCCCTTCTCTGCACACATCTCTCTTCCAAGGCTCACCTTCCCCTCACTGTGTGCTCAGCAACTCCTGCCAAACCCCTGTGCTTCACATATACAACCTCCTCCACAGCCAGACAATGTTTAAATAAAAACATCAAGCATCAGGTAGAGCCAGACAGTCACATCTAGGGGAAAACCAGGCAGGTTTTAGGAGAAGGAAGCACTACCTACTGTTCACATCATTGTACACACTACAGGGAGAAGGGGATCCAATGGCAACCCTTCCCAGGTAAGACATACTGCAAGTCTGCTCAAGATAGAGGGGTTGGCCCCACCTTGTACTATGATTATTTCCTATAAGGTCGAAAGAGTCCATGGCCTGAGAACCCATCTGCTACGTTTTCAGTAATACAGACAGCCCTGCATCAATTTATGCTCAATCACATGTTGAAGCAAGTTTAAGTGCCTGAAAGTTTGGCAATACAAGGGAACACAGACTTTGAGGAACACCTTAATGGTAAAATTGAAATAAGTAAAAAAGGAGCCAGCTTCTCCCTCACCCACTGTGAAAACTGTAGAGGCTGCAAGAACAGTATGAATCCAGACAACACTCACTGTCAGGGCCAGTACAGTATCTCAGAGCACTCTCAGCTATTTACACATGGACAGCCCTGCAGTTAAAGTTTTCTGTGTAATCCCAATGCATTCTGCTGACCAGATCTCCCAACAGAAACGCCAGGAGCGGGAGGCTCAATTAGTTACACATTGTGAAACCCTGTGCATATTCTCTTCCCTCCAACATTCTCCAACTATTATCTACTGCAGCTTCATCTTAATAATGTAGCAATGCACTGCCATGTAATCCACTTCACAAAACCAAACTACAAAGCTGGGCCCAAACAATGCAGCTACATTCTCCACCCAGACCAGCCAAATCAAACAATGAAATCATCAACGTGATAGACCATCCTTATCTGGCCAAGTCACACCTGCAGACAGAAGCTGAAACAAACACCTATCGCAACAAGCTGCTTCATCCAGTAAAACCTACCACAGCAGCACAATCATCCCTGAATCCAATTACCCAGTTATATCTCCTCTCCCCTTTCCCCCACCCCACCCAATGAAACAATACAGGCTAAGCCATGCCAGTGACACACCTCTACCAAAGTAGCGATGGAAATCACTTTTTCCCTTGAAGAGGAAAACATGTGAACACCAGCAAACATCAGGATGGGCAAAATCTACCACAAACAAAGGCCAGAGCTCTATTGCTTTGAAACACTCAATCTCAACTTGGCAAAGAACTGCAGGGCTGCATTACAGACCACAGCTCAGGCCTGCAAGAGGGGCACCATCCATCTTTTAGGCTACCCAGTTCCTGCAGTGTAATTCCATCCCCTCCTGTCCCATCTCTGCTGCTCACCTGCATGGTCTTAGTCCACAGCCAGAACAAAACAGCTTGCTCCACAGTGATTTTGAGAGCACAAGGCTGAGAGCACGTACACAAGCAGCTACCACAGAGTAACCAACAAGATGCAAATGCACAGCTTGGTTTACCTTTCAGTTAAGTTTTCATGAACCACCCCTGTACTTCTACAAACTAGCCACCATATTACAGCACTGCAAACAGAAGGTTAAAAAAAAAAAAAAAATCTACACTGGCTTATTCCTATTTAGGCCTTTAAACTGCAGAAGCTTGATGGTGATAAGTGGTCAAGTACCTGGAGGTGTACAGCCTTATGGCTGCTCCAGCAGGAACAGCTGCAGATATCACTGATTCACTTCAGTCTTTTCTCCCCACTCTTTGACAAGGAGAATGTGGAGAGATGAAATAAAGGCATACCAAGTAGATGAAAGTATCAGACTTGTGGCCTTACTGTGACATGAAACATTAAAGGCAAGAAACCTTTCTCTGTGTACAAGAAAGAGCACGCTGCTATTTTCCCCGTGGCCTTTCTGAGACTGTCAGTCTGTGCTGGACTGAGGCTGGTGAGAGCCAAAAATCAGCATGGAAGAAGAAAAAAGGCTAGAGACCTGCTGCTACAGAAAACAAATGATAACTCTGAATGCAAGCTGAGCCTGCACCCTGAATTGTATCTGTGACAGTGGAGCGGGCAAGGAAAGAGAGAGCGTGGAGTAAGAGGCTGCTCTAGGAAGAGCAGCAGCTTTAGGAGGGACCAGAACCAGCAGCAGCAGGAGGTATTTGAGCAACCACTCATCCTGATAGCCACCAGGAAGCAAACCTCTGCATGAGCATCCACCAGTGGATTCCCCGTGTGACCTGAGAGGTGGGGTAAGCAATGAATCAGCCAACATATGCTCCTTCAGCACAATTTTACTGGGAAGGGCACATCCTATTTCTCCGACCCTCATTCAACCACATAAGAGGGAGAACAGCTGCACCAGCAAAAGGTGACTCCACTACACCCAAGAGCTACCACTGGTTTTCATCACGTGCTGCACTTACCAGATTTGTTAAGCATTTGCTTATTTTACACCCTTGCAGCTGAACTGCACGTTACTTTTTAATAAGCTGCTGTTTAATGAAGTACTTGATTACACACCTCATTGATAAGGAGAGCAACTGGGAAACAAGAGGACTCGGGAAAGGTTATTTAACGCTTATATTGAGCTGTCAGACTTCTTTAAGATCATGTAAAAGCAAATAGATAAATTGACATGAGTATTCTACACCCTACACATCTCCCTATGGCACTGGAGGATGGAGTGACAGAGGACACTCTTTGATCCTTGAACCAGGCCCCAGTTTCTAGATATGGCTCCCTACCAAGGGCTATTAAATACATCTTTAAATCTGCCTCTACCTCTTAGCAAACGCTGTCCTCCTCATCCTTTCCCAGGAATGCATAAAGCTTGTGCTTGTAACACAACTAGGACTGGACCCACCAGCATTCAAACAGGTCTGTCAAAAATGCAACTTTAACCTCCTGGACACTGACTGCCGTGTTGGACCCAGGAAAGCAACTTCCACCAGCCTAAGCCTTCCCAACTCTATCCCTTCCATTGCTAGCACTTGTGCCCCAGCTGAGAACTGGCTCCAGATAAGATAGGAATAATTTTCAGGGACAACTTTCATGTTTCTTTCAGCCAGGTGGCCACATGCTCACTGGCACAAAGGAGGCAGCAGTGACTGATGTCACAGGCAAGTGAAATACACTTGCATCCATCTCCTGCCAGGTTCCTCTGTCCTTTTTCTTTAACAAGAGCAGAAAATACATGGGGTACCTAAAAAACTGCTGTGGCTAAAGACACAGTGTCACATGTGCACATAAATTCACGTGCCACCTGAACACCACTCACCTCTGCTCTGCCATCAGTAGATGGCCTGACTACCTACTGCCCTGGCTCTTCCCACTGCAGGGTTTGCAGATCTCAGCCCTTAACCAAGCTAAACAAATTATCACACATCAGACTTTCAGCTGACTTGCTCCACGTCCTTCTACCAGAAAGGCAGGAGCCACTTGCACCAGAGTCACCTCATATGGCACATGGACTATATTCTACCCTAAACAGCTGATGATTTGTGAAAAATTCCATGTTTTATCACTCCCTAGTAAGCCACGAATCCCCCTTACTTATCAATTATTTTCTCAACATCAAGAGATAACTTGTCCATCTAAGCTGAGTAGATAGCAACTCGCAGCCAGTCATCAATTTCTAGATGGTCCTAACTTATTCTGAAGCAGTGTGGACTTTCCTATGTTTATGTCTTGGCAATAAAAAGTTACAGCATACACAAGGTCTTCAGTTTCACAAAATCCACTTATCCACATCGGAGAAATCACTGCTATTCCAAAGTCTGCACAGTATTACCTCTCTGCTGAGTCTTGCACTGGAAATAACTTTCAAGCAACAGAATAATCAAGAATTTGTCACCCAAAGTTATTTTGCTACATGAATGTGGGGACTACACAACCTCCACAGAGAAAACACCTTCTCCTGTACACATGGTGACTACACACCTCTCTGGTAAACTCTAAATGAGTAGGTTATTGCCTACAGCTACCTCCAGCCCTGAAGCACAGAGAAAGGGGCTGAGCAAAGACAAGCTCACTTAAAACTAGCACCCTGAAGACCTACAAGCACATTGACATGGAAAGGGCGTGCAAGATTCTATGCCATTACATGGGAGAGGAGTTCCTCTGACTTGCTCAACTTAATGTAAGAATTTAGGACCACAGGATAAGCCTCACAGAAACTGGAAGAATATACTTAATCACCCCTGTGCAAATACAGTATGTGTAGTCATACAGCGTAGCTCTGCTGAGCCTACCTGTGCCTGCCCAGTCACAGTACAGATGCCCTTCCTCCCATAATTCCCCCCCCAACTCCTATCACCACACATATGTACATCTCCCAAAGAATCAATCTCTCCTGAAGTCCATCCAGAACAGAAACGGCCACAGAAAATTCAACCTTTTGGTCTCCATCCTTAAAATGTATAGTCAATACAAACCCAAAGGCTCAGGGAATTAAGTGTTTTATCACATTTCTCGTGTAACCATCTCCTTCTCTCAGAAAATGGTATCTCTAGCAACTACTCATTTCCTTCCTCCTGCTGACAAGCACATGGATAACCAACAGTAGCCACGAAGCATATTACTATGCAAGTAATTAGTGTTTTTAGGTACTTTTAAAAAAATCATCCTAAAATAGTCTTTTGCAACAAACACATTGCCCACTACTCTCATAAGCATCACTTTTGAGAGCTGTGAGTAACACTGACACTTTCTGTCAAACAGACAACTACATGTCCATTAAACCTTTTTTCAGTGCATCAAACAACACCTCAGTGCATTATTAATCCAGGGGGGATGAATGACTGTCCTAGACAGCTTCTGACTCCGTACGACTCCTTCCCCAAAGTAATGGAGGAGACAGACACTTACGGATGCTGGTGAGCAGATCCAAGGTGTACAGAGACAGACACGAAGAGCCTTTCAATTTCCCAGCTGCTATTATGTACAAAACACTCAAACTACTTGGTCCACCTGGGACTCAAACAAGCTCTTGGCAGATTCTGACACAGTTCCAGAAATCAGTGTGGGGGAAAATGCCAAAAAGAAAAATCCTTAAAAAGAAAAAAACACCAAACTCAAAACCTAAGGTACAACTATCTGCTCGGGTATAGGAATGTTAAGAGCGCTTCCCCTTGGTGTTCATGCCATCCCAGCCTCTCCAGCAGCAGTGGCATTTGCAGGTCAGCCAGGCTGCTGCCAGGGCGTTGGGGACGCCGTTGCACACCCCGCAGCGTGTCACAACGTCACACTGACCTCAGCTCAGCACTCCTGCACAGCTGCCAGCACCAGTTCAGCTCCACCTCTGTTAGCAATGCCGGGAGCAGTCTATGTACTTTACAGCTGGAGTTTTAAGCACCTTACGTGGGGTGTCACTTGCCTGAGCAGCAGCCCGTCTGCCCTGCAATTCCTACTGCTGTTAACACCGGTAAAGATCAACAGATCGAGCAATAAGGGATTTTTCAAGAAATGTTTTAACAGTATTTCCCTAATATACGACAGGCTTTCCACATCGTGTTAGCAGTTAACAGCCCCAGCATCAGTCAGCATTGCATGTTCAGTGGACAATGATAAAGAGTTTTCCACAGGCTGCTTTCACTGCTTTGGCTTCTGTCAAAATTTCATCTACTTTTCAGGAGTCAGGCAACGTGTTCAGAGGCAGAGGCATTCTTTTCTCCCTTACTTCTCTGGGTTTCTTTTTACAAAAATTTAAATAGGGACATCTGCATGAACAGCCATAGGTAAAAGACACCTGTATCAAGCTTGCCAGCAGCCCATTATCTAGAAAATAATCTGTGGGAAGGGAGTGGGGGGAAATATGCTGAAATAATGGATGGGAAGACAGGACTGAGGAGACACCAGTTTGTTCTTCAACAAGTAGTAACGCTATACTGCTTAAGCAGAAGGCTTGGGAGAAACAAGTCACCTATCAGTTCAGCCTGGGGAAAAAAAAAGGGCTTTTCCCTTTCCTTTCAGCATCCCTTCAACAGGCTTCCAGAATGAAAGATAAGAAGCAATCCTCAGGCATAGCTCCTTGGGCTGCAATCTTGTCAGTTTTCATGAGCTAAGTGAGCCTGGGATGGGTCAGTACAGGACAGAGCTGCTCTGAGGAAAACCCAGTGCTACAGCGAGCAGTCACTCCCTGCTATGCTGCAAGGGGACATGACACACGATGCCCCTCAGAGTCGCTGGGGGCAACCCACACACCTTCCTCCATTTTAACCTTCACCTTCACAGGCATTTGGTCTCTCTCATCCCAAATGAGCAGTTTTTCAAGGCTCCCCTGAGCATCACTACCTTCCAGCACTGCCTGTTGGGCCAGTTTTCCTTCAGGACTGTCACCACCAGCCATCCCTCTGCTCTTCTCCTCCTGCTGCTCTTGAGTACCTTGGGAGCTCAGCGCCACAAAGCTGCCATTCCCACAGGGACAGAGCTGGAGGGTTACTCTATGCCCTGCACTTACTGCTGGGTAAGGTGAGTGTCAGGGGGTGCAATGAACCCCTCACTTCTTTGCTTTTAGACCCACATTAGGCACATGAGATGTAGCACGACCTTTAGCCACACAGTGCAGCGCTTCCATACTGCTTTCCTCGTCCTTAGATGTAGGATCTTCCATACAACAATGACTCTTCTGAGGAGTAAGGCACTTCAAAGAACTCCAGCAAGCAAAGACTGCATGTACACAGTGCTCCACGATGCTACATGATTATATCAAAGCTGCTGGGATGAAAAACTGACATTTGATAAATAACATGAGGTCACCTCAAAGATCTCAGAACACCGCGTGTAAAAAATGTTATTTTGACAAGAAATTAAGCAATTGTATAATCAGGTCCATTAGCAAATCTACTGCTTTGACATGATCTTATAAAAGTACGAGGAGCATGCAATTCCAATTGCTGCGGGATCCTCCCTCACTCAACATGAGATGTAGGCATTTAATATTCTTCCAGTTAGCCACGCATGTACAGCAAAGCCTAACGCACTTCAAAGTATTTACTGTGCTGTATAAACAGAGCGCTACTTTCAAAGACTCATAACTGTCAAATCAAAGCTGGCTTCCACCAGAGCATTCAGAAGCATTGCTGCTGGATGGTGGCTATTTGCCTGACAGTTTCAACCTTCTATCCCCAACCACAAGAAGGTTAAAATTTATATATATATATATATACACATATGTATATTTATTTTTTTTAAGAGACAGAAGAAAGTGTTTTCTTGCTAACAAGCTGTCAAGTCATTTTGGCCTGAAGTTCTTTACTCCTTTCTCACAAATACATATAAAATGTGGTGGAAAACTCCCAATCCCCTAGAAGAAGTTCTGAGAAGAGTTTCTCCACACACAGGACGGCCTAAACTCTCCACTGTAACAGCTCTCACTGTTGAAGCTGTGGCTGCTCACCTCGACAGGCTACAGCTTGGTTTTATATTACACTGCAAATACATTTCTAATCAACTCTCAAACAAATCCAGATTGGTACATAGATAAAACACTGCCATTTCACAGGCAGTGGAACAGCGATATCAAGACACCTGAAGAAGTCAGTTTAGCAAAATGCAGAAAGCAGAGCTCTGAGCCACCTGAAAAACGGTCTGGTGCTGCTCTTACCCAGTGTTTTTATCAGTGAACCTCTAAACCTGAGTTTTTGTTCAGGTCTTCACAACTCTATACACACTGCAAAGGTGGCAAAGATAGCTTGACACAACATACACCAGCAGACTCACAGACCTAAAGCAATTTGTAGAGCGTAAGTAACACAGTGGAGTAGATAAATCACAAGCTCTGTTCTCAAGTTCGTCACCAAATCAAACCTAACCTGGTTTTAAAAGAGCCCACGGGCCCCAACTGCCCCCTGATAAGGTAAAACAGATATCTGCACCCTTTGTTCAGAAGGCACAGAGGACAACAACAGGCACACGGGGACCATCCGGTGACAAGATGGGTCAGTGATTTAAAGCTCCCTTGCCCTGCCGCTATGCAGACAGCCCCACCGGAAAGCTAAGGAGCAAAACCACAGTGGCACTGCTTTCTTAAGAGGCCCAACAGCCACGAGAACAAGAGAAAATGACAACCAGCTCACAGTAACTGCAAATGCTAGGAGCTGGACAGGCAGCTGCGCGGCTACCTGTGCCAGAACAACAACTGCTCAGAACTCAATACAGAAAACATTAACTCTCCCTCAATTCCATAGGCAGCTAAATTATTGTGTGTATCGTGCCCTCTTTTTGTCATAGACTGCACCACTAAGGAGCACTTAAAACCAGCACTGTTTTCAAGACTACAGCACCCAATTTTCAGCGAGCTCTCGGAGGACACTGCATTCAAAAGGATTTCATTGATTCTACCTAGGCTTTAAAAAATGGGCCAACCACCTTACAGTCCACTGTTCATCTCCCTTCCCTATTCCACAAGCTCCTTCTCAGAGGCTAAACAAGGAAAAATCTCACCTCTCCTTTTAAGTCTGTCTGAAAAGAAAGGAATCATGGTGCATATCTATCTGTTCTAAATAGGTAACATTCATTCTTCAGATATAGTAAAAATTTCATAGTAGTCTTTAAAATAAAGTCAAATGAGTGTTGCCAAAGCAGATCAAAACCAGAGTGCTCAGATCCAACCCTGACAAAGAGTGGATAAGAACAACCCCAGGAGGAGTAAAACAAATGTAAAAAGCTGGATAGCAGCAGTTCACCTCTCATAGTCACACCTTGGTAGCTCAGATCAGAAGATTTCAGGATGGTTCACCACGATCCAACCAGAAGCCTGTGCAGTCGAATGTCACATCTCAAACACTGGTCTCAATCAAGTTTCCAGAGAAGTGTGTGAGAACCCTGCAGCAAACCCAGGCACAACAAGCTATTCCCTCCCTCTCTTTCCCAATATAGCAGCACATCTGTTAGAGTAGAATAAAAAACAAGGTTTAGACCACAGGCTTAATACCTCTTCCAAAATTTCTACTGTCACTGATTACGATAATTGAATATTCTTCATATTCCTACAGACATCTGATGCTTTTTAACTCTTGTTGAATTCTTGCTCCTGATGATTCTCACAGCATGAATTTCACTGCTTAATTGCAACCACACTAAATAGTCTATAGTCAATTTACAGTGCATGTTCTGTATCATCAGGCACTCTTGACGCAGCAGAAACTTTTCCATAGCTAAACCCCCATAGCCTTCTTTTTGCCCTGCTTAAAGCTCCTTAAAGAGAGGTTTCTCTTTTGATACCTTGCCTCTGTGTTCAGAGATGATTTCTGGCAAAAAGAACAAGGTAAGCTGAAGGCAACTGTTCTCAGGCAAGGGAAGCTGTAACAAACAGGTGTAAAAAAACATTTAGCAAGTTTAGCAGACTCTTGGGGTATAGTTAGATGAGCACGCCTTTTGGCAGCAATGCCAGCTTAAAGAACTGCTGCTACCAATATTTACTTCCACCCCTGCACCACTCTGTCTGATGTGCCCAAACAACCACTTACGTGGCCTAACAGTGAACCAGTTTGGCAAACTGATGCAGGCTAAGTATAATCTTTTTTTTTTTTACCAGGCCACTTATAATCCAGATCAACTCCTGGATCCTTTCAGCATCCAGCTGCTCCAGCAGCAGCACCAGCAAGGTGCTGGTCAAAACGGGCAAGCACTCCTCACAAGCCAACCCTAGCTAGTGTTAGGCCCTACAGGTAAGGGTGCAGCCACAAAGTACAGCCCTGCTTTTTCAAAAATATAAATTAAAAGTCAGCACTGGAACGGTTCACTTGGATTCAGCACATTCAAATATCACCTAGTTTTGCTAACTAGTGTTTGTGAGCCTGAGTGGTCTTAAAGGCAACCCTTAGAAGTTTCCCAACAGATAGGATTATTTTTGTTCAAGTTCTTTGACATTATCAGGAATTCCTAATCATGAACAAGGTTCCTGTTCTTCTGGACTTGTACAGTCCTTATCACAAAGGAGATCAAGCTCCAAAATTATTAAACTCCTAAAACACAACAAAAACCCCCTAACAGACAAGTATGTGGGGGAAAGCTAATTTAAATCGAATAGGCAGAGCAGTGCTTGGACAGAAACTCAGCAATAAAATCTCCTTCCATTCACAAATTGCTCTGAAAACCTGAGTTAACACCTTGACTTTGCCAGCAGGAAGACTAGAGGGACTCCAGCAGCGCTTGCAAGCAGGAAATCCAAGCCCACAGCAAAACTTGCTGGGTTAAAGGACTTCATATCTGTGTAAACAGAGCACAGAACTTAGCGAGGCGCAGGGATTTCTGTCAAGTCCAAGGCCACGCGAGCTAGTTAGAAGGATTTTATGAAGGCTGCCTGCATTGCTCTGAAGAAATTCTGGTAAACTTCCGGAAAGCAGAGGAGATGAAGCCCTGTGAGGCAGCCCAGGTCACATGTAAGACAGAAATTAGTTTGAATACTCACTTGAGTGTAAATTGCTCCACAGGATAAAGTTGTTGTTGGTTGGGTTTTGATTTCTTTTCCTATTGAATTTATAAAAGACTAACAAAATTCCTAAGCCATGGGCACAGTTTGTAAGGCAAGAGAGTCAACAGAGCACGTCAGGAACTCAGAGGAAAAAAAATCTAGAGAGAAATATGTAAAAATAAGTATGGGGAGACATGTTACGGAGCAACAAGCCTGAATAGCTAGGAAATATGGATCAAAGGTACTCCATTCCTATCCACCTCAAACATTATACTGCCCAGAAAAGCAGTTGTATATGAACATTTTGGCCTTGTGGCTTGTAGTTGCCTTAGTTTCTATATTTGGATATTTTGTAACAAATGTAGTTTCTCTGGCTGTGGACTGACCCTAACCGAATACAATGAATCCAAGCCATGAACTGCACAGATGAAATGCAATATGGGGGGAGAAGCAAGGGGGAAACACAGGGAAGCAAGAAGAGAGTCCACACTCTTTGTATTCATAATATACAGAAGAGATCTACAAAGTTTCTGGTTGCATGAACAGAAACTATTTATTTTCTTTCACATTAAAATTCAGGTCCAGCCTAGCTCAGAAGACTGTGTTGACCAATAAACAAATTAACTGATCACAAGAGAGAAAAGCAAAACACCTCCCCAAAACAAATACAAAAAGATGGTCACAACCGTACTGTCATAGTCCAGCTACTCCCTCACACCAAAGGAGATCACAATTTCCCCCAAAACATTTTAATGCATCTCTGAGCTAAATGATCTGTATTGGGAAAACTACACTGGTAAGTCAGCAACAGAACTTTTACCAAACATTGCAAAAATCAAGTACACATGCACAAAATACATCCCCAAAAGAATGTTAACCTGACCAAAGATGAGCAGCTGAATGGGAGTGGAACTTACACAAAAACTTGTTTAGGGTGGGGTTTTTTTTTGCTTGGTTTTGTTCACACTTATTTAACGTCAATGATTGATTAACATTTTGGATAAAGGAGGTCTTTGTTAGTGATTCAGCATCTCCACCCCTTCAATTAAGGTGTTAAGAGTTCACACAAGTGCAGTGAGACCCAAGATCCCCAGACCCTTCTCCACAATAAAAACCTGACCCCAAAACCCCCCAGATTTGAAAAAAAAAAAAAAAAAGAAAATTAAAAAACAAACAAACAAACAACAAAACAAAAAAGTACTCTCCCCACTGAGAAAATTGCCAAATCCCAAAACTGACATCGTTGCTAACTTCAAGTTAAAAAAAGAAAGATGCCTTTCTTTTGTTGTTTGAGGAGAGGCCAGCAAGGGAGGCAGGGAAAGAATATGAGCCCTTGAGCCATTTTTATGCTCTGAGTAAGAAAAAAAGGGACACATTCATTAAAAATAATCTCTTTGGAGATCACTATTAAAAGAAAAAAAAAATTCCACACCGCACAACAGAGCCATCATGCCAGCTTGTCCAAAATGGCTATAAAACCTCACCAAATCAGCCCTTGTAATTCAGGGGAGAGAGCAGATCCCTCTGCTATGGGATGCAGGCATGTGCACTTCTGTGAGCACAGCTCCACTGCCACAGGATGAACACACAACTTCACCCGTCCAGCAACTGTAACACCCCACTGCAGGCAGAAATCGGGCATGACAAGACCTCATATAAAGCAGCAGAGAGGTAAACAAAAAGAAGTGGGAATAAAGCTGTTTAGGTATGTTAATTCTTTCATTCCATACTCTTTTATTTAATGTAATGCCTTGCCTAGCTTTTCAACATTTGTTTTTGAAATATTTTGAGCAATCACTGACCAAATAACCCAACAAAACAGAGGAAAAAAAAATCTACATCAAATTTTTTTCCTCATGCTTTTAAAGCTTGATGCATTTAAGGACGCTTATGTCTGTGTGGGCTTTTCACAAAGAAATCAAGGACAAAACACTTTCAAGGAAAAAAATGTTACTGGAACCCCTAAAAACTGGAATAACTGTCTCCCCCACTTCCTCAAACTGTGTTTTGACAGAAGAACAACAAATCACCAACAGGGAGGCTTTATGAGCCAAACTTGACGTGGCACAACCCTCTCTTCTCTGCCTGGACCAAAGTGGTGTTACTTTACCAGGGAAGAGCTACAAGACTTGATGTTCCTCTCCCAGAAAGTGAGGTTCATGGTCATTTCCAGACCAGTTTCAGAGTCCAAGTTAGGTTCGGCATCTGGAGAGTAAAAGCATCTTCCCTTTCACACTGGTGGTCTTTGAACTGTTCTACAACCTACTAACACTTCTTTCATACTTTCTTTCTTTCTTTGCTGCATGACAGTTCTCTGATTTCTCATGTAGTTTACTATTAAGCCACTAATCATGTAATCATCCCACCCTAATTTTTTATACCCAAATAGCAACCCACAGTTGACTGTCACATCAGATTCCTCCCATCTGCGTCCTCACACTTTGTCTCCCCTCTGCGAGCAACATCCACCCTCCAAATCCCAAATGCTCCATCAGCAGAGGCCCTTCTGGTCCCATCATTCCATCACCTACACTGAGACCTCACAAGCAGAAAGTTGGACTACACAGAAAACCAGGGTGCTCTCGCTCATCTTAGAAGTGGAGCCTTGTTGCCTTCCTGCATCTACCCGTCTCATCATTTCCCTGAGCATTTGGGGTCTTCAGTGTTCAGTTGTTTCTCATCATCCAACCCTTGACCTCATGAACTTGCAGTGTTTCTATAGATTTAGCCTTTCTCATCCCCCTCAGCAGCCAGCCAGGGCACAGACTGCCTCACACACAGACAAAATGCCTCTCCTCTACCTAGCAGGAATACTTCCAAATAAAAACACTGCCCCTGCCTTCTCAGATACTGCTTTTCCCCACAATCCCGATATACAAGATCCCCTCCCACACTCTTAGCGTCCCACAAACTCCTCTTGTACAGCTATCCCACATACCAGTTCAACACTATATGCTCAGCTTCCCTGGATTCCTGCTCTCCTGAACTACCTACACTGCTTTCCCAGCTCTGGAGCCCTACAGTTTCCCTCACTTGCACCACCCATGCTGAAAGTCCACCCCAAATTCTGGCTCCCAATGCCTCCCCATACCACAATCCCACTCCCATGTCCCTTTCTCCCAATGACTCAAGTCCCAGCTCCTCATATCCATCCCCTACATCCACTACATCCATCCCCTCATGTATCAACTCAATTCTTCCCAGCAGACCTCATACATTGCTTCACTCACCTTTTCCTTTCTTCCTGCAACAAAGCTGCCTATCTGTTCCTCACAACACATCCCAGAAGATCTGATGTCCCATACACCATCTCCCACCCCATCACTGCATTTTCCACCTTTTATTCCAATCCCTACATCCCTTCCACAGACCTCTGTGCCCCAGCCCCTCACTCCAGCTCCACGGCAGAGTTCACACACGCAGCTCCCACCCCACTTACTCCAGCTTCTTTCTCCTAGGACACTTCTCACTCCCAGTCCAGCAGCCCAGCCCTGGTGCTGCAGCCCCTCCCATCCCATGTCCCAGCCCCTCACTGGGACTGGAATCCCAGAGCCAACTCTCTAATCCACCCAACACCGTCCTCTTCCACGGCATAGCCCCAAGGGCACCCCACAGACCTCAGAGCACCCCACGCACCAGCCTGGCCTTCAGAGCACCCCAGTGCCACCCCACAGCCACGTGGACACCCAGTGCCCCCAGCACCACCCAGTGCCCCCAGCACCACCCAGTGCCCCCAGCTCAGCACAGCCACGTGGGCACCAACTGCACCCCAGAGCACCCCACACATCCCTCCACGAAGCACAGCTCTCGGGGCATCCCACGCACCCACACTGCAACCCAGGACAACCCACACACCTCTTCCCACGGCAAATCCCCTCTGGCATCTGCTGCAAGTAGGAGCATCCCATACATTCCTCCATACAGCACAGCCCCCAGGGCATCCCCTGCACCACAATGCAGGGCAGAGCATTCCATGTGCCTCTCCACAGGGCACAGCCTCCAGGGCTCCCTGCGCATGCCAAAGCACCCCAGTCATCCCATGGAGCACAGCTCCAAGAGAATTTCCTGTGCCCCACACATCCCTCCATGGAGCACAGCTCCCAGGGCATCCTCTGCACCCCAAACATCCCATGGAGCACATCTCCAAGAGCATCTCATGCACTTCACACATCCCTCCACGAAACACAGCCCCAGGTACCCCGTGCTCCCCACACATCCCATGGAGCACATCCCCTGCTCCCCACACATCTCATGGGGCACAGCTCCTGCCTGGAGCACTCCCTGCTTTCCACCCATTCCTCCATGGAGCACATCCCTTGCTCTGGGGGTGCAGGGGGGATGAAAAAAGAGGAAGGGGGTCTCATGGAACACGCACCCTGCACCCCACATATTCCTCCATGGAGCACATCCCTTGCTCCGGGGGTGCAGGGGGGATGAAAAAAGAGGAAGGGGGTCTCATGGAACACGCACCCTGCACCCCACACATTCCTCCATGGAGCACAGCTCTCAGCACATCACATGCTCCCCACACACCTCATGGGGCACAGCTCCTGCAGCATTCCCTGCTCCCCATTGATCCCTCCACGGAGCACATCCCCTGCTCCCCACACATCCCTCCATGGAGCCCTGCTCCCCACACACCCCACGGAACACAGCTGCTAGAGCATCCCATGCTCCCCAAACATCCCATAGAGCACATTCCCTGCTCCCCACACACCTCATGGGGCACAGCTCCTGGAGCATCCCCTGCTCCCCACAGACCCCTCCGTGGAGCACAGCTCCCAGCACATCCCACGCTCCCCACACATCCCATGGAGCACACTCCCCGCTTCCCACACATCCCTCCACTCAGCGCATCCCCCGGGCACCCCCGATCTCCTCTCTCCCGCTCCTCCGGGGCACCTCCGTCTCCCCCGCCCCGCCCCCCCGTGACTCCCGCGCTCCGTGCGGGCGGTGCGGGTGCGGGTGCGGGTGCCGGGCTCCCTGCCCGCACTCACGGCGCTCAGCGCGGGGCCGGCGGGGGCGGTGCGGCGGCTCCGTCCCCCTCCCGCACACACACACAGGCTCCATTGTCCGCCGGCGGCGGCGCCTCCCCCCCGCGCCCCGCGCACTTGGTACCGCCCAGCGCAGCCCCTCGCGCCCGCTCCCCCTCCCCGCCCCCACCTTGGCCGGTTCTTCCCCCTCCGCTCCTCCCGCTCCCCCGCTCCCGCCGCGTCCCGCAACCCGCGGAGAGGGAATGGTACCGCCCGTCGCGCGCGCCCGCCCCGGCAATGGTACCGTCCGCTACTCCCTCGGCCGGTGGCAGGACCGCCTCTCGCTCCCCGCGCTGCGCACTTGGTATCGCCCAGCCCCCGCCCAGCCCAGCCCCAGCCGGTGGGCGGGGCCTGCATCCCTTCCCCTCCGCCCGCCCGGTGGTACCAGCCGGGCCCTTAAAGGACAGGCCCCCATCGCGAACCGACCACTAGGCCCCGCCCCTCTAATTAGCATAACCCATCCCCCGTCCCCGCGGCGGCCACGCCCTCTCTCCCTTTTAAAGAGACCGCGCGCCCCAAGCGCTTCTTAAAGCCCCCACCTCCCCTCAGCGAGAGTCGCCCTCCCCGCCCCGCTCCCCGTGCCCGCCCCGCTGCCCGCCCCGCTGCCGCAAGGAAGGCGCCCCGGTGTGGGCCGGGAGCGACCCTCCCCACCCCCTGAGGCGGCGCGTGCGGGGGCCCGCCGGCCCCACCCGCGGCGGCCCCCGGAACGGAAACGGCGCGCGGGGCCCCTGAGGGGCGGCACGCGCTCCGCCCTCCCCCGCCCGGGGGATGCGGGATGTGGGGATTTGGGATGTGGGGATTTGGGATGTGTGGGATTTGGGATGAGGGGCGGCGGGTGCCCTGGCCCGCCCTCCTCCTCCTCGGCACCGGCTGCCCCCCACCCCCCAGACTCCGCCTGCCGCCCGTGCGGGGGGTTCCACGCCCCGGGAATCGCGGGGGGAAACCGGCCGGAGGTGCCGCTGGCACATGTCCCCTCTCCACACACGTCCGTGAGGGAGGCGGGATGAGAGCGTGAGGGAGGAGAAGCAGCTCCTTGCTGAGCAACCCCCCCGGCTCAGAGCACCCACCGGCGGGGAGATCCCAGGGCTGATTTCTCTGGTGGGAGAAAGCACCGGGTTAAGCAGCAGCCCGGAGCTGAGCAGGGAGGGACCAGGCAGTAATGGCAAACAGACACAACCTATCAACTCCTAAAAAACGCTCAAGGGCCCCATCCTGGACAAACGCTCCGTGTGTTTGGGGGATTAGACATCAAATGTGGTTCGGTTTCGAACTGGCAGCGAGGAGTTTTGAAGATTTGCAGCAATCCGCCGACCTTTTCAGACCCGAGATTTACTCTGTGAAAAGAGGGCTTTCAACATCCACTAATCCTCCCTCCTTCACCTCCACAAAAATGTTCTTAAAATGGGCGATCTCGCGGGCTGCGAGGAAGAGCTTTCCAAGCACACCGATACAGAGACCCGCCGAGCAGAGAGAGCCAGCTGATCAGCTTTGCATATCCGCGATGCCTGAATAACCTGTTTGCCCAACACAACACCAGTGAACAGAAAGGCAGAGTGTGTCCTCCCTCTCCCTTTATCCTCAAACGACCCATTCTTTGTTCGACTCCCACCCTGTCCAACTCCCACTTTTAAACAACCCAACTCTTTGGAAGAAGACCCTTTCAGCGCAACCATTCACACTGGGCGTTGCTCTGGCAGATAAAAGAAGCTCCTCTCTCTGCTCAGCTTCCCAGCCCTAAGGGGCTTTTCCACTTTTTGCCCCGCTCCTCCCCTTGTCCATGCCCGCGTGGAAACCCCGTCAAAGAACTCTTTACAGCTTCCTGAGTAGGAATTATCACCTCTTCCCCAGATACTTTTCCTTGAGGGGGACACTCCCTAAGAGTGGGGTTTCAGTCCTTTCTGATTTGCAGACCAGAGACCCGAAGCAGGACAGACTTTCAGCCCACTGACACCTTTTCCAGACAAATCCCTGGGGCTACAAGTTCCCAGGATCCACTATCCCCGAAGTGAAAACCTGCGGTCTCTGACGAGTCTTTCCACCTCCCCACCAGCCCCACCTGCACCTTTCCAATGATCCCGGCAGCGCCTTCTACAGCTGCAGTGCTGGATGTGAAACCCAACTGATCGGCTCCACTAGAACCACCACCTTTGCTGCCCTCGGTTCCACAAACCCTTTTATACCTGATGTACAAACCTCCTCTGTTTTTACACTGATGGGCCACAAAATGTAACACCCACTATTGCACCTCTCCTTGACGCATCCCACACCGGTGGGCTGAGCCCAGGAAAGGCTGCCACGGCACGGCTTTGCAGAACAGACCAGCCAGGCAGCCATCCATAGTGAAAGGAAGAGATGTGCCTCACAGTGCCTCAGATAGAAGACCCAGTCTCGCTCTCACCCACACAAGGAACCCGCCGCGGTTTGCTTAAAAGGAGGTTTGTTTCCCCTGGGCAATAGAGGCTGGGATTTTTCTAGGGAGAGCCTGAGGAAGCCAGCCACCCAACTTCCGTTTTCCAAAGGTACCTTTGAAAATCCTGCCCCGTGCTTCAATCCCGACAACATGCCACAGCAGCGATAAAATACGAGGTGATAGCGGCACTGCCTTTTTTGTTCTCCTCCCTCCTCTGACCCAGTACTTCGCTGTCTTGTCCCTTGAGGAGTCAGACCGGGGAAAAGGAGCACAAAATGCTACTAGTTTGCAGATGCTGTGGTTCCTCTGACTCCCCTCCCATCCCCCCGACCCCATCCCCCCACATTTCAAACAGTTATAAATGACTGTGCAACTCTGCAGGCAGCGGTCTCAAATAACCACACCAAGCCTCTCCCCTCCAACGGCTTTAAGTCTCTTCCTTCCTCTCCGGGGCTCCGGAGAGCAGCTATCAAGGTGTTTTGCTTCACTCTCAAGAGTTAAGTTGCTACTTCACCCACCACCTTTGGGAATCCGCCACACGCCAGGCAGTGAATTCCCGAGGCAGGAATTCTCAGCTGAGAAATCCCTCCCTTCCTCCCGCTGTCCTTGAAGGGTTTTACCATGGGAACTGACAACAACAGGCTCCCAAATGATCTTAACTGGGAACACAGGTTGTAAGTCAGGATTTCAGGTAGCAGAGCCCCAGACGGCGGAACGGTCAGTGCCAGCCTCGAGAGCAGCCCCCCGCTTTGGGGCCTTGCCCTCCCTCGGCCAACCTCATAAAAGCTGCCCCAGAGAAACCAGCTGTCCTGGCTCTTTAGAACACTGGTAAATCCAAGAACATCTTGGAAACATTACAGCTCTCACCACACTGTGTGTGCTCTCCTCACAACTCCCTGTCTGCAGCGAGGACAGGAGATCAGCCTGTCTATTCAAAAGAAGGCTCTTCTTCCATTAAAGCAAACCAATCCTAAGGAAAGTTGCCACAGGAGCTTCAATTCTGTGGGGCAGGCGTATCAGACAAGATAGCCCAGCCAGCTAAAGACATTTGCATGACACTTTCTGCACATGGTTCAGAGCATGGCACACCCCAATCACAGCTTTTATTCTCTTTAAGGGCCCAGCCCTGCAAACACTTAATTTTACATGTGTAAGTAGAGTCCCACTGAAGCACAATGGAGCTACTCATGCAAGTAACATTGAGAGTGTGTAGGGCTGTGGCTCTGTTTCACTATTCCATCTGCAGCAGACCCAGTTTTAGAGGATCCTGCCGTGCCTCTCGG